ATATGTATATATATATATATATATATATATATATATATATACACACACACAAATATTATCATTAATGTTATAATAAATTATATGCAGTATATATATTTCTGATTTTATTGTCTACACAAAAAGAAAGTGAAAGAGAGACTCAAAAATGATTATACAAATAGACTTTCTGTGTGCAGAAAGCATTTTTTTCTCTCAGATTGCTGAAGGTTCTGAACAAAACAAACAGGTTTGATTACACGAGCAGCACAATTGATTGAACTCCATCTGGCAGTTCTGAAATGATTCACATCTGTGAACACACACTTTCACACACCTGTAAACTCAGTGTGATCAGACCTTCAGTCCTGGACCTCTGCGTCCACTCATCACTCACAGCGCAAGCTCAAGCACAGAGCAGAGCATCGGACAGCTGAACTCGTCTGACAGAGATTAGACAGAGAGACGGAGAGATTTCCTGCAGCCGAGACTACGAGAGCATCCCACGAGAAAAAGCTCCAAAATATGATCCAGTGCCATGATGCGGACGCATCAACATGCCGCGTTTACACACACACACACACACACACGCACACACACATACACACACAGAGGAATCTCACTAATGTCATATTTCACCACAAAAATCAAAATACACAAAGAAAATAAAGCCTATTTTTGGACAATTATAATTGTTTTGAATTTTGAAAATAAAGCACCTTTTCACCACAGTACACTCTTAAAAATAAAGATTTCGAAAGGGGTTTTTTATACCATTTTTTTTTCTAGGCATGAAGAACATTTTAATAATCTGATCCTTTTTCCACAGTTCCAGAATAAAAAGTTATTCATTGAAGCATAGATACCAATAAAGATCAATCAATCAAACAAACAAACAAACAATCAATCACTGGAATATAAAGAAGAAAAATAGTTAAATTGTTTACATTATTTATTTACATTATCTTCATAACTTACAAATAATTGTAGTGTTTACAGTACTGTCTTTATGCCAATTTTAATTTAGGATACACAAAAATAACGCAATCCAATAAATTAATAATAGCAATGAATTAATAATTACATAATAATAAATTAATAATTAAATTAAAAAGTAATAATAATCAAAGATTTATTGTCACAATGCAAAAATGCAAATAATAATAATAAATACAAGTTTTATTAAAAAACGTTTCTAGAACATGTTCTAGTTTCTAGTGAAATGTTAGCTAGAAATGTTTCTGATATAACGTGGGATTCAGAAATCTGAGTCCTTATGTACATTTTTCATGTTAACTTTTAACTAAAATTGTTATGCAGATGATTCAACATTTTGTATTCAAATAGCACAGAATATGCAACAGAATGCAAATCAGAAGCAAACTTTGACTGCATTATATAATGCTAGTGTGTTTTATAATGAGCTCTCCTTCTCTTTCTGTGTTCAGATCATTCATTAAAGAAATGTAAAACTCAAACAGCATCATCATCATCATCACCAGATTTTCCGGCACTCTTAAATATAAAGGTTCCAAAAGTGGGTTTTCACAGCGATTCCATAGAAGAACCATTTCCGGTTCCCCAAAGAAGAGTGAACAGCTCTTAAAAGAAACAAGTTTTGAAGAACATTCCAATGATCTAAAGAACCTTCTCCCACTATAAAGAACCTTTAGTGCAATGGAAAGGTTCCATGGATGTTGACGGTTCTTAATGGAACCATCCTTACCAATACAGAACCTTCATTTTTAAGAGTGCAGAACCACCATTTTTGGTTCCTCAAAGAATCTTTCAATGAACAGTTCTTAAAAGAACAATTTTGT